TCGGCGACCTCGTACTCAGGAAAGTCTTCGAAAATACAGCTGAACTCGGCGCCGGCAAACTAGGAGCAAACTGGGAAGGGCCGTACCAAGTCTCGAAGATAGTTCGCCCCGGCGACTATGAACTCCTCACCATGAGCGGCACCAAAGTCCCACGAACTTGGAACTCCATGCACCTCAAGCGATACTACTACTGACGACCTCGCTCTCCTTATATATGTAAAAAAAAAAAAAAAAAAAAAAAAAAAAAAAAAAAAAAAAAACTGATGGCTTTACCGATGCCTCTCTATGTAATGTGAACTACGAACGGCTTGATCCCTCCGATCAGGGGGTACGTAGGCAGCCCTGCTTGCAGGGCGCAGCTATGATATTAATAAAATTTTGTATTTCCATCTAATTTTGGAAATACAACCGAACCGAAATATACATCGATACCATGGCCAGGCAATTCGATCGAACACGTTCGAACGAGAACGCACACCCTTACTTAAGTCTGCCAAAACAAGTAAAAAAGTCTTGGAAAAAACCTACACTTAAGGGTCTGAAAGCCGAGCTCCGTACTCGCAAAGCCTCGATAAACCGGGTAGCATAAGCCGGGGACGAACCCGCACTCCCAAAGAGTTGTCAGGCCAATACAGGGTAAGCCGATCACCGCGCGTCGCACCTCACGATGTCTCGAGCCCGCCTCGAACACTCCGAGCAAACTCGGAAAAGCCGAAATTGGTAAAATTTCGCACAAGCCAAGTCCAGCACTTGCATCATACCGACAGAATAAACGTATAGGCCGAAGGACTCACAAATCCCGAACCGGTCAAGCCTACCAACAACCAAAGTAACTTAGGCCTCGCATCAGCTTGGCGAACTCGCACCAAGCCGATCACGGCCAGGTTTACACAGAAACCGGCCGCGTCCCGTCCTACACAGGAGCCGACCCTGAAGAACAGGCTAAAATAAAAGAAGAAATAAATGGCGAAAACCACATAAAATAAGCCGACCTAGCGGCAATCATGTTCAAACAAACCGACCCAGCAGAAATAAAGCTAAAAGACGAGTTAACGGCACGAGTTCAAAAGCCGACAAAGCGGCGACTAGATAAGAAAAAGCCGTCAAAAGCGGCAAAACGACAACAACTTTAAAAAAATGACCTCGCGGTCAGCCTTCGATATCAATGTCCTCCCCGTCTTGGACAACCTGAGCTAACGGAGTAGCCACCCGTGGAACTTCCTGGACGTCGCCAGTCTGCTCAGCGCCTGTGGCCTCGGTCCCAAAACCACCTCCATCCTGAATTTCGGCCCGGGTCTCGCGAGCTTCAACTGCGACCTCCTGCTGAGTGTCCTGATCAACAGCATCTTCTTCGACCTCGTCATCTCCGACGAAATCCCTACCACTGGCAGCTGAAGCGGCATACTGAAGGTTCTCAGTAACCTCGTTCCGGTCCGCAAAGAGGGTATAAGCGTCGAAATCGCCATCCTGAAGTTCAGTCACGTCGAAGGCCGCAAGATCAGCTCTGTACTGCGCCACGTCGGCCTCAACCCTGGAAAGCGTTTCCTCTGACTTAATGACGACCTCGCCGTCTTCCACTAGAGCCTTCAGAAAACCAAGGTTCCCGACTGCCTGGTTGTAAAGCAGAAGAGTGGGCTGCGCGGCACGGGTATCCTCAACATGAGCCTGTAGACGGGTGAGACGAGCCTGAAACAGCCGGGCCATCTTCGCAAGAGCTTTACCTCTACAGTACTCGCCGTACTCCGCACGACGTTCTCGCAGTCTGGCTTTTTCGGAGCGGAGGATCACAGCGAGCTCGTCGTACCGAGCCTTCTCTGCCTCACTTCGGCGCTCAAACGGTCCCTTTCCGCAATCAGCCCATTCCGGTGATGATCGAGAAGGTTGACCTTCTCCCTAAGCTTCACCGCCTCGTCCTTAACGACACCCAACTCTCGCGAGACTTGATCTACCCGCTCCTTCTCCGCAGCAATGGCAGCCTGATAATCACTCTTCTCCGCAGCAATGGCAGCCTGATAATCACTCGAGTTCGGGTTCTCGGTCGAAAGCCGACGAACTCGGCGCTCGTAGAGATGAACCAGGCGGTTCATCGCGAAAGTCGCCTAATAAAAATATATACATAAACGATCGACCGAGGAAGGGTAACAAAAACATATATATACATATATATATAATAATAACCTCGCATGATTTCTTGGCCGCCTCGGTATACGCATCCCGCTCCCGAAGATCCTCAATTAGAGGGAACGAGCCGGGGCCGTGACCCATCTCGCGGAATAGTCAGCACAGGCGTCCGCATTAGATGTAAAGGGAACATCCCTATCGACGTAGCGGTACGACCACCTGTGGTCGGCGACCCGAGGCCTCTTCTGGGCAACAGGACGAGCTCCCGTATCAGCCGGCCTCTTCCTGCTCAGAGGCTCGACTGAGCCACCCCGGGCTCCTATGGCTCGGAGATCATCGCTTTGGGGAAGGATCGCAGCTCGGTCGCCCCCACCAGCCTGCTGAGTTAAACGAGCTGCGAGCATCTCGTTCTTCTTTACCCTCTCGGAGTTAGGGCTCAACGGTCGAGAACTTCCGGCCTGGAAGGCGTGACGCCCTCCCTGATCTAAGAGACTCTTCTTCAGGGCCTCCCTCATTTGTCGCTCCTCTGAGCGAGATGGCTTTGCCACGGGAGTCTCCGAGGCCGGCCTCTTATCCTTGTAACGACTGGCGTAATCCGGGACCACACTCAGATCGAACTTACCCATCGCTTTACGACCTAAAATCAAAAAAAATATATAAGCCAAGGGAACGAAGACCGGCAGAGGCGAACGATATATGTGTTACCTGGTTTTGGAGGAGCAGAAACTTTGGAACTTTGACGAATTGGCCCTCGACGAGAAGAACCTCGGCAACCACGTGAAGGATTCCGAGAGGGGCGGCGAGCAACTTTGTTAGTGGATGACCAGATATACGTACCCTCAGCACGAATCTTTTCGAGATCCTTCTTGAGCTGCTCGGGAAATGGATCAAATATCGTCGGGAAACGAGCTGCACAAAAAAAAAGAGATATAAGAAAATCGAAAGCAACCAAAGAAGAAGTGTGAGGGCGGAAGACGAGCTCAAGCTACCGGGTGAAATTTTCCACCCTGTATAGATCGGAATCCTAACGTCCTCAACAGATTCTGCCGAAATCCTAACAAAGAAATATCCCGCCGACCAGTCGCTAGTCTTGCTCTTGGCCTCGTCGACAAGCTTAGGAGTCGTGGATGACTGAACGTAGTATAAGCCCGGCTTTTTCTTGCTGAGGCTCTTAATCTTGGTCACCTCCTCGTAATGAGAAGAACGGACAACCACGCCGCACCTACTCGCCAGCCGAACCAATCCTACCGCATTCCGGATGGCAGCAACAGAAAGCTGAGAAAGAGCCATCTCCCGCCTCGCTACATATTCAAGCAGGAAGCCCGAAATCGGAAAAGTGAGATCGCATTCCGTAAAGAAACTCTCATAAACACAGAGAAAGCCGGCCGGGGCGGACCAAGGTCGCTCGGATAGGGCCGAAATGCGAGTTTCAATCGAGGACGGAGCGTCACAATAATGGAGGGTATATGCGAGGGTCTCAAATGACGTCCGGGTCGGCCCCAGGAAGTCGACATGATAGGGAGACGGCCCGGGAACCCCGAAAGGCATCTCGACGAACTCAGGCTCAGCCTCCAGATCGTCAAACTTAACATCACCAATATCCTCATCTCGGAGACTAGGAATGAATGGAACGATCGAGGTAGCCCCGACAAGATCCCGTTGAGAGGGCGAGTCGCGACGTTGCAGCTCGGCCGCAAGAATCGAAGAACTGGCGTCAGACGACCTCGACGAGTTCTGTCGACGAGGGGACAAATTGGACTCTAGGTCGTCATCAAAAGAATTGGCCCGGAATCGATCAACGGATGATATACGACCCGTAGAATCAGACGAGGTGCGAGAACGGAAGTGGTCGGAGACGGAACCGCGAGAACTAGCGTCGGAAGACATCGCAATAAAACAAAAAAAAACGAGATAAAGCGAGAGAACGAAATAGAGAGGAGAAGGTTATACCTTTAGCGGAGGAAGAAGAATGAGAAACGGACGAGAGAGGAGGGGGTATTTATAGAAGCAAAAGGTGATAAGTAATCATTATATCTACGAAATTGAGCAATAATTACGAGCTAAGACAGCTTCACACGCGAAGGGACGCTTCGGTCTCCAAACACCGGGAATAACGTCAGCCGAATCGATTCTCGCGTCTCTCCCACGCGCGCGCGTCGCCGAAACTCGTTGATCCGAAACGACGCGGAGAAAGGCGATCTCTTGCGTGTCTCGGGAAAGGAAAAACAATCATGATCCTCGCAGCACACGATGAATCATGATTGGGGGGCAACTGTTGAGGGAGTTATTGGGCTTTAGAAATATAAGGCCCAATCCAAGGGAAGCCCATCAACGAAGCGGGCCTTAAGCCCAAAGGCATCGAGGCCCAGACGACCTCGCCGCCTTACGAGTCTGCCACGTCACCAGACGCGAGGGTAAAACCGGTAAAATCTGTCAGGGTACGCCCTACTCCGCAGGAGTATAAAAGCAGGACGACTAGTCCTGTCACATCCATCGAAAATCACGCTGACACGGCAAGGACACGAAGAGCTCGGCTAGGATACGAAGAACTCGGCTAGGATACGAAGAGCTCGGCTAGGATACGAAGAACTCGGCTAAGACACGAAGACCGATCTCAGTCTAGAAAAGGAAAGCGACCTCAAACTTTATTCAGCTCGGAAAACGACCTACAGTTCGGCCTCATCGACGACCTGGAATCCTTAATCCAAAGTCATCGATCTCGGCTCGCCTAACGCTATTTGAACTCTCGGCTCGAATTGTTTTAGGAGATTCTTTTTACTTCCCCAGAGAAACCCTATTTCGTACTTGTGTGATTCGTGCATCAACAATGATGAGTTCTTGGATTATAACACCATTTTGTAAATCATCTTAACCTCCAGGTTTGAGCTGACATTGTTAAGAAAGCATTGAGCTACCCATTGAAGTTAATTGCCAAAAACGCTGGTGTTAATGGTAGTGTTGTCAACGAAAAGGTAAACAATATAAAGATCATCTTATACAGATTGCAAGTCTGAGCCTTTGATATAGAAACTAAGTGAATGGCTTTTTTTGGGACATGTACTCTCTAACGACAACCCAAAACACGGATACAACACTGCAACTGGTAAATATGAAGATCTAATGGTTGCAGGAATCATTGATCCAACCAAAGTAGTCTTAGGTGTGGAAGATCATATTTTGGTTTCTGTGCTTGGAAGCAATTATGAAGTCATCTTATAAGTTTTAGCTATGCTTGATTATACAAGACTTTTCATTTGAGTAGCTACATGGATGATGTTTCCTTCTTTCAGTAATTCAATTGTTTTGCTTTTAATCTTGATATATGCTTATATGATAGATCGAAAATAATGTTTGTAGGAAAAAGGGATAATCTACGCACTGTCACAAGTTGCATATGGAGGTTCCTTATTTCTTGGGTACTGGGCTTATTTTCTCATTTGTAGTGTTTACAGAAGTTAAGATCTCTTTCCTTTCAGGTATGAGTTCTTTATTATTTGATCTCTTCGCCAGCATTCTTAACTCTTGGTATGCTCTAATCAACTCAATTCATTCCCAAAAATGTTCAACAATTTTTGTCATGTCAAAGACCTGGGAACTTCATGGATTTTTGATAGGCAGCTCTCGAACATGTGTATGCTATATTTACTTTTCAGTCCTTCTGAAAGTTAATCCTTCAAGTAGGTGGAAAATTGGTCCTTGTAAGGTTAGATTACACCTTATAATCAGGCTGTATATGATCGTTGGTGAAAAACGACGTCATTAGACATACATGATTATTACAAAAATACATGACCAACAAACAAGGCTAAGCCTAACATTAATAAACCCTATTTTTCAACGAACTGGGCCTTGAATGAGGCCGAAAATTACAAACATAAAATATACTGGTTAATGTCTTATATTTATCTTTAGGGCCTGATCTAGGCATTGGATTAAAGACACTTATTAACATCAGTACCAACAATGAAAACATCGATATCTTCGTTTAGGTTTTATCAATATGGGTTAAAAACAGGGAAAAAAAGAAGCAACAGGGCGAGTCGATTAATTCAAAAATATGTACGACTCGATTAATCCACAAATTATGTGTTGATGTCATAAAGCTATATAATAATGAATAGAGATAATAACAACACTTCACTCTCTATCTAAATTCACAAACAGGTGAAGATATAATACATTTTTGGTGAACAATAAATACACAAACATAGTAATTTAGATACAATCATATATACAAAATTAGAATCAAACAAAGAAAAACTTGACTACTTAAAATTAAAAATTTATTAGTTAATACGTACCAAACCAAAAAATCAAAAACATTTGCAAAAATCATTTACATAAAGTATACTATATAATTAAATACTTGAATAAATAATCATATAATTGAAAGATAGAATTAAAACCCCGCGCGTAGCGCGGGTTCTCACCTAGTTGATATTAATATATGCTTAACTTGTGATTACGAACATGAGTTTTGTTAATTACATAATTAGCATAGGATTAATGTCATCAAAATGGATTAGTCTAAATTAGTGTTCTAAGGTCTAAGGATTAGCATTGAATAATTGAATGAGCATCATAGGTTAGCTAATAGTCACCCAAATCGATTGCCTTAACTCGATGGCTCGTTTGTTTATTATTGCTTAAATCGTTTTCTTTATAATCTCATTTCTTGCCTTATTTACATTTAAATCTTGTTAGTCCTTTTCATATGGCTTTCTTATGTCTTAATTTATCTTTTTTGATCATTGTTGTTTAATTTCACTTAGTTCTACTAGAAAAACCCAAAAACAATATATTTACGTAGCTTAAATAACTACATGCATTATTAGATTTAATCTTTATTTTTTTTGTGGTTTGACCCTTAATTATTACGATGACACGCCATATACTCGTGGTTGAGTGTGACTGAGGTTTTAAAACTTTGATTTATATATTCTAGCGAAAAAAGAGATGTTGTAGCCAATAAAATCAACTTAAGAGATGTTGACCTCACAATCCTTATGTAAGAGGGAATAGTATCTTATATGAATAATGAAACTAGAAATTACCCCCGGGTTTAACAAAAAAAAAATAATAAAAAAATAATGAAACTAGAAATTACATTTCTCTTTCTAATTGACAAATAAAAAATAGTTTGTCCTTCACAGACTGTAAAAAATAGTTTGTCCTTCACAGATTGAGGAGAAGATGAGAGGTTGGGTAAAAAGGTTTAAAAAGCTGAGTAAATGGCAGTCAACTGTAAATAACTCAATCTGTGAAAGACAAAATAGTGGTTTTATTTGTGGGGTAACTTTACGGTAACAATTATTACATACAAAACACGGGAAAACGGCAAATTCCCCCCAAAACTTAGTTATTTTATCGGATTCATACACATAACTTTGAGTTGTGCTTATAACTACGTGAACTTAACTAAATTTTGAATTTCCTACAGATGCTGACTAGGATGCCACGTAGGCATCTCATTTAAATTAAAAAAAAAAACACCATAGGGCGAGTTTCGAACCCACAACCTTTTCTAAGGCATAGCAAGCTTATATATAACGCAGGAAAATACCAGTTTCGCTATCACGATTTTCATTCTACGTGTAACACACACATATATATATATAACGCATACAGATCTCAAAAACTAATATATTCAATTTTACTCAACTCATGTTATCCATCCAATTCATCGTTTCCAATTCATCGTAAAATTGATTGTAAAAAAAAAAAAAACAAAGTAATATTAGCAAACGAACCAAATCAACTTAACAAACCCTAAAAAGAAGAAGAAGTAAAAAAATATCATCGTGTTCTTCGGCGACTCAATTAATAGTTCGAAAGTAAACCAAGTAAACCCATAATTTACCCACAAAATTAGATGAGAAAACCCAGAAAATAGAGATTGCAGCGGAATTGATTAAGGAGTCTGAAAAACAAATTAAGTGAATTTCAAAAATCTAATTCAAAATTATGAAGGAGATTGTTTTCAAATTCAAAATCATCATTCGTTGGAGAGATGAATCTTCTATATGACGAAGAAGAATGAAACAATGCTTAAATTGAACGTAGGTGAATGAAAGGCAGAAGACAAATTAACTTTTTTTTGTTTGAGTAGGTATATATAATATATATATAAATGTTTAAATCTTCAACGAAATTATGATAGCATAATTGGTATTGAGCATGCGATTCTTTAGCAAAGGTCGTGGGTTCGAAACCTGCCTATGGATATCTTTTTATAATTTAAATGTTACGACGCTTACGTGGCATCCTAGTCAGCATCTGTTAACGGAATACTTAACACCGTTTGTCGATTTGATGGTTTTGACCGGATGTTGAATGTTCGGGTAGGAAATTCAAAATTTAGATAAGTTTACGTAGTTATAAGTACAACTTAAAGTTATGTGTATGAATCCGATAAAGTAACAAAGTTTGGGGGGGGGGGAATTGGCCGTTTACCCCCACAAATAAAACCACTATTTTGTCCTTCACAGATTGAGTTATTTACAGTTGACTGCCATTTACTCAACTTTTTAAACCTTTTTACCCAACCTCTCATCTTCTCCTCTTCATCTCGTCTTATCTATTTGAGGCAAAAAATTAGGTTTTTTACAGTCTAGCTTCCGTAGCCACACGAAGTACAAAATGACGAAAAGGAAAACAAACTCTAAACGCAAGCCCAAAGATTCATCATCTCGCGTCGCATTTTCGGAGGGACGGGTTACTTTCGAACACCCATCCACGAAAAAACCTCGTAATAACAAAGCAGGTAAGAAAACCCCCAACCTGTACATCTAAATTAGGGTTTCTCAATTCAACCCCTCATACAAATTGAGAACTGGTTCCGCTAAATTATGTGAAATCAGGGGACTCGACACAAGAAAATGAGACTTCTCAAGGATTTACAACGCCCATTCCTGATATGCCCAAAGGATTTAAGGAAGGTAACTTTTCCGTTTTGGTTTTCTGATTTCTATCATTCCTTCCCTCCGCAACCAATGTCTTACTAATTTGCAGTTTCGCGTCATGATTTCGTAAAAATCATTATCATATTTTCAAAGATCTGCTCCGGATTTGATATTCTGGGACTTCGATGTTATTACCCAAAAAAAATCCTTTGTTCTGCGCTGATAAAAGTTGTCTTGTCAAATTATAACTGAAATCTTAATCACTTGGTCCAGGTAAATCATCCGTCTCGGCACACAGTCGTCCCCGTGGTGGTTCGGGAAGATCAAACCGTAATTTGGCTAAGTCATTTCCCTAAGGTAATTTACTCTTTTGTTGTGTTCTACATTTTTTGGGTGTTATTGGCTTCTCACTATGTAAGTTTTATGGGTTTGATTGGCTACTGATTTTGGTGAGGTTTTATGCTGACATTAAGTAGAAATTTATGTACTGATCTATTGTAGTGAAGGAGAATTTTGTGTTAAAAGTGTGAACAATTTCAAGGTCGTCTTCTATTGTTTGCTCTGCCTCTAAAATTAGTCAGAAAATGTTATCTATCCTCCTCTGTAAAACTATGTTTATGTGTTTTTTTTTGTGAAGCAATTAATTGTTAATCGGTTTATGGATTTATATATATGTGCCAGTTGCTTCTAAAACTAGCAACGCTATCGAAGGGTAGAGCTGATAGAATATATACGAAACCATTACGTGAGTTCTCTTCTAATCTCTTTGATTTGCAACGTTTGGTTCATTTATTCTTTCGTTTAATAACTCTGATTCCTGCAATTGTGTCAGACCCGTGTCAAGTATCACTCTGTTAAAATCCAAAGGCTGCTTATTTTTGCATCTATTGCGTTGGATGTGCCCATCGCTTCGTATGCCAAGAGCGAGCTTTTTTATTCCTAGTGTTTTTTTTTTTCTTAGTGAAGCTCAGTTCATTAACATGAATTTTGTAGTTGCTTTAAAGAAAAGCGGAATCTCTTAATATTGAACAAATCGTGATGGTGTGATTGAAGGAGTTCGTGAGAGAAAGCAAAGAAGAAAAGATGGAAAGAAACAAAGAGAAGAGAGGTTCAAACTCGACATGGGACGAGGAGATGAAAAAGCGAAGAAGAGGAGAAGAGAAGATAAGGAACAAGCACATAAGGAGAAAGATGAATAAAAAGAGTAACAAGCATGAAGGATACGAGATAAGGAGAATAAATTGATCTGTATCCCCAAAGAGAAAGTTTTGTTTTTCAGATTAGAGGATGAGAACACACTGATAACACAACAGTTCTGTACACTTATTTAGTTGTACACCATTACAAATGTACGCTAGTAAAGTGTATACAACAGTTCTGTACCCTCATCCAGTGTATATAATGGTTTCGTACTCTCAACCAGTGTACACAATGACTACTCTCATCCAGTGTATATAACGGTTACGTACTCTCAACTAGTGTTCATAATAATTATGTACTCTCATCTAGTGCACACCTAATTAAGTGTACACTGCACACTGTACAAATAAAAATATGTACACTTAATTAAACTTGTCCACTACATGTAAAAATATCTTGTCCACTACATGTATTGTACAATATAACTATTTCATCCACTGCAAGTAGTGTACAGTTATAGCATTTACAATTCTACTTTCATTATTTTGGTATATTTAGTATATGTTTTTTTCTATTGCAGCTAAAATATTCTGGTGAATCGGAAGTCATTCTTAAAGATGATGTAATTTGATTCGCCATGGGCGTTCGGCGGGTTCGGGTTATACGGGTCGGTTTGTTCGGTTTGTGGGAAATTTGGTTTTCTCAAAATCCTGCCGAATTGACCCGAATTTAAATTCGGTTCGGTTCGGTACTCGGTTTTTTCGGTTCGGTTATGTGGTTTAAAATCAATTCCGAAGTAAACCGATTTTTTCTCTAATTCGGTTAATTTGAACCGAATTAAACAAAAAAATAATCATAATGGGCTCAAAAAAAAAATTACAATTACAAACCAACAATTATTAGGCCTAATCTTAATACAAATGAATATACAAGCCCAATCCCAAGCCCAAACCCAAACCTAAACTCTAACCCATCAAAATTTAGGGTTAATGGGATCTCCCAAGCCCTCGTGGCCGCCACCTCTCTTCTAAGCCATCGGATATGCAACTGCGACCGTGACGGCAAAGGTGGTGGTGACATCTGACCGCCTATCCCCTGAAAAATATTTCTGTGTTAAGAACAAACCGAAGAACAACAAATAAACAAAGGAATCAACGATTAAGAACAAAGCCACAAATCGGATTTCATACCCAACAGATTATCTAGACTGTTGCAGAAAGATCCTTTGGAACAATCTGTAACCAATGAGAAGAATGCTTCCTCTGTGAATCTGTCTTATCCAACGAACTTGAACTGCAAAAAAAAAAAAAAAAAAAAAAACTGTTAAAATAAAACATAAATCTTCGATTACTTGTACCAAGAAAATTGAAAAGAAAAACGAAGGAAAGAACTTAAAAGAAAAAAAAAACGATTATAGGAATTTTTGAAACCTAAGAAGTTGATTTGAAGAAACAAACAGAACTCTTCGATTAATCTTACTGAAATAAAGTAAATCAAATAAAAAAACCCTAAGATGTTAATTCGATTAATTTTACTCAAATCATGTAAAACGAGAGAAATAACTTCAATTAAACGCGATTTTTAAACCCCTAAGAACATTAATCGAAAAGATTTCGAGTAGTTTTACTCAAAATCGAAACTTTGAAAACCCCTAAGAACTTAATTAAACGCAATTTTCGAAACTTTGAAACTCCTAAGAACTTCAATCAAGTAATTTTACTCAAATCGAGAGAGATGATCGATTTTAAAACTTTCACAAAACAAAGAATTAAGGAAACCGAAAACGAAATTCGAAATTCAAAAGAAAGAGAATCGAAACTTACACAGAGTGATTTCACGAATTTGCGACGGAGGAGTTGCAGAAAAATAAAAAATAAAAACAAAATCCTTTTTCTGTGTATTGCGTAGCCTTTAGTTCTATAAAACTGAATCAATCAAAAGCTTACCTGTTTCTATAATTCGGAATCTGCGGTACAAACTTGATAAACAGCAACGACAAAGCTCGATCTAAGCAGTATTTCGTTGTTGAAATTCAGATCGAAGATTAGTATGAGAGTTTTCTAGGTTTGGTGTTTCATAGAACCGATAAAGACAATAATGGTTGTTTAGACAATTATCTGTCCAAAAAAAAAAAAAAAACAGTATTATTTCAACTGGACCACAATGTATTTAGGCCCAATAGACAGGCTTTTAGATTTTACTGGATCACAGTAATATATTAACGGATTCGCATATTGGCAATTAGATTTTATATGGCCCAAACGTCAAACTTATCAAATTACAAACAAACAATTACTTAAAATATTTATACATATCTAACTTATCTATTTATTCAAAATTTAAATCCAATTTAACATAAAAAAAAATTATTTACGAAATTTTTTAAAAACATAGAAAAATTGAAAATACATTTATATTTCATTATCTATTTTATTATCTGATACCAAAATCTTTTTTAAAAAATACAATAGTTACATACAACAAAAACACATATTTATTGACAACAAATGTTATACAACACATTTTTAAAATCTTAGATCCCACACCAAAGTTAACAACAAACTATGTTCTGGTACGAGTGAAACCACGCATATACTGTATCTATTCAAAACAACTCTTCATAAATAAATTTACAAACAAAAAACAACTCTATACATAAATAATAAACCACAATTATAACCCCCACACGTATGTGCGGGTCCGGACCTAGTTGATTATATAAGTGGGATCCATAGCCAACGTCACCGCAAAGCCTCAAACGGTTACTTTTAGCATGTGCCGTTTTAATAAATTTGTGCGTGTGAGTGTGAGATACTACAAAAATGCTACACAAATAAATAAAGACCTTGAAAGCGACATAAAAAGACAAGATTGAAATTCTGAGATAAGCAGCCAAAAATGAAGATCAAAAACCGAAAATTGGATTTAGTGTTATACACAAAGGTTTATATATATAATTTTTTGTTTTGTATCGGATACGGTTGTGGGCTCAATTCATATTGTTCACACGTTTTTGGGAGGAAATGGCACTAAATCTTTGTTTAGGTAGAAAAAGACATTAAACGGATTGTTCGGGTTGGAATACGCATTTTTTTCTCGTTTTGTCTGTAGGTAATGCCACCTCATCAAACACACGTGTTAGCTAAGTCATCCATAATAATGGTTAACTAACGTCTGTTACCAATGACTATCATTTATGCACATATAGAAGAGTTGAGGTATGATTTTTGAATTTTTAAATCATTTGGGGAGAAAATAGCACTGAGAAAGAAAAAGATACCACACAAAATTTTTGAGGTTGAAATACACCCTTTTCCCGTGTGTGAGAAGTGTGAGACGGCAACGTCATAAGCGGAGTTATTAACATTTAAAATATGCGTAAAAAATGATATTAAATTACAAATACATACTTTTATGGACTCTTATTCAAAATTAAAACACGTTGACACATAGTAATTATAAATAAACATGAAGAAAGTTAGTTTGAAGACTAAGCTGTAGAAAACTAATCTTGCATTTTTTCCTTTTCATAGAATCCTTAGCCAACCAACTTTGCGTTGTTTCATTTCCATGAGATCATATTTAATTAATCAAATTTCTTATAATATAGCTCGTTTATGAAATTCAATATACCCTTTATGTGTTTATTTAAAATATAATTTTTTAAAGCTATTTGCTTACTCGAACAACTGGAAATAAGCCACCAGGATAATATATTTTTGTTTTTACCACCAGAATAATTTAAAGAGGGAGACAAGTTGGTAAGTAAAAATTATATATATATGGGGAAATATTGTGAAATTTTTGCTCTAGTGTTGAAAAGAACCGAAGTATGTACCATGTATAATCTTTTCTAGCTTTGTTTTCATTTTTGTATTTTGTGATAATTTAGTGTTATACTATGTTGCTAAAGTTTAGTTATCAAGTTGATATTAAGAAACACAAACCTTAATAAAGTATTTCTCTCATTATTAATCTTAGCTTAAGAAAACTCTCTCAAAAACTTAAGCTCTCAAACACAAACCAAATCTCTCAAAACAATCTCTTAGCTTTGTCATAACTCGACAAGCTCTATTTATACATAAAACCAAAACCAAATCCTAATAAAAAAACACCAATTAAATCTTCTAGATAAGTCCTAAACCAACTAGGACTTATCTTTAAACTAATATTTGAGCTTATCTCTTCAAGCTTAAACCAACATTCCCCCCTTTAAGCTTGAACTCTTCTTTCTTCAAATCTTGAACACCAATGAGATCTCTCATCTCCTTGAACTTAATCCTCCCAAGTGCTTTTGTTAGTATGTCCGCCTTTTGCTCAATTCCGGGAACATGCTCAAACTCTATTTGACCATTCTCAATATTATGACTATTATCGCTGTAACCTATGAGTTTTGGTAGACTCATTCTCTCAAAACATAAACCAAGTGATGTAGTTCCCTTTAGGTATCTCAGGACCTGTTTCATTGCAGCTCCATGGGACTCTCTTGGACTCTGCATATACCTGCTGAGTATGCCAACACAAAAACTCAAATCTGGCCTTGTATGCAACAAGTAACGCAGACAGCCAACATTCTTCCTATAGCTTGTTGCATCTATCTCCTTTTCATCTTCAGCCTTTGACAGACTCAGTCCCATTTCCATTGGTGTATGCACCGGATTGCAATCTGCCATGTTAGCGTTTTCAAGTATCTTCTGAGCATACCTACTTTGGTTCAACGTTATTCCATACTGATTTTGAACTACCTCAATCTCTAGGTAGTATGTTAGCTTTCCCAAATCACTCATCTCAAACTTAGATGACATCTCCTTCTTGAATTCACTGATGCAGCTTAAGTCTGTTCATGTTACAAACAAGTCATCAACATAGACACCAATAATAAGTAATTGCTTCCCAATTTCTTTTCGATAAACTGATGAACTGCAGCTCAAGGAGAATTAGGTTCAACTTGTTGTTCCAGGCCCGTGGTGCTTGCCTTAATCCGTAAAGTGCTTTATTAAGCTTGTAGACTTTGGTTTTGTTTCCATCCTTCTCAAAACCCTCTGGTTGCAGAACATAAACCGTTTCCTTCAATTCGCCATGGAGAAATGCTGTTTTGACATCTAAATGGTGAATCTCCCATCCATAAGCAGCAGCAAGATCAATGAGGAGTCTTATTGTTTCAATTCTTGCCACATGAGCAAACACTTCCTCAAAATCCACACCATATTGTTGCACATACCCCTTTGCAACAAGTCTTGCCTTATGCTTGTTAATGCTCCCATCTGAGTTCCTTTTGAGCTTAAAAACCCATTTAAGCCCGATTGGTTTTGCTCCTATTGGCAAATCGACAAGATCCCATGTCTTAAGCTTCTCGATTGAACTAATTTCTTCTTCACAAGCTTGTATCCATTCTTTTGATTCTCTAGCTTCTGCAAAATTTCTTGATTCATTATTTAAAGATAACAGCAACAACTCTCCTTCCTCCTCTGCAATCAAAACGTAATCTTCTAGATACTTTGGCATGTGTGTTTCTCTTGTCGATTTCCTTAGCACTGTTGTGCCGTGTGGTGTCGAACGACACACGGTATGTGTGTCGATGGACACATTGTCCGAAAACAATGGTTCAGCTACTGCACCTGGTTCCTGCATTTCTTCAGATTCTTCAGAGTTTTCTTCTCTGTTCTCAGTAAGTTGCCCTGTCTCAACAATTTGATCACTCTCTTGTATTCCATGATTTCCAAAACCATCAAGTCTTATCTTAAAAGTTCCACTCCTATCTTTCTCACTTTCAACATCTCTCCAATTCCATCCTTTAGTTTCATCAAAGATGACATCTCTGCTTACAACAACTTCCTCATCTGTGGATCAAACATTCGATAAGCTTTTGACCCTGGTTCTGTTCCTAAGTGAACAAGTATTCTTGTTCTGTCACCAAGCTTCTTCAGGTGTGGAGAATCAACTTTTGTGTAACCAAGACAACCAAAGACTCTTATGTGTGCTACACTTGGTTTCGAATCTCTGAAAAGTTCATAAGGAGTTACATCATTAAGAGATCTAGTCGCCACTCTGTTTATCAAATACGTTGAATGCCTGACAGCTTCTCCCCACATGTAATTTGGCATATGCATATGTTTCAGAATACTTCTAGCCATCTCCATAAGTGTTCTGTTTCTTCTCTCAACAACACCATTCTGCTGTGGAGTGTAAGGCGCAGTGAGATGCCTTTTGATACCATTGTTCTCACAGAAAACATTGAACTCATTTGAAGTAAATTATCCTCCTCTGTCAGTTCTCAGTGTTTGTATCTTCTCTTCGACTTCCTTCTCTACCATTATTTTGAAATTCCTGAACTTGACAAAGGCATCTCCTTTATCCTTTAACAAAATCGTCCACATGTATCTTGAATAGTCGTCTATGAGAACAAAGATATAGCGATTTCTTGCACTTGTGCTTGGTGAAATTGGTCCACAAAGGTCACCATGTATCAATTCAAGCTTCTTTTTAGCTCTGTAGGCTGTTGCTTTAGAAAACACTTGACGAGTTTGTTTACCGAGTAAAAACCTTATAAAAACCACCACAATGTTTCTATTTGTGTAAGGTCCACTTTTGTTGGTTCAAATTGTTTCCACGTTTAGGCATTAAAGAATCCACTTCCATATTCCATATATATATTGTAAGTTCTTTTTTGGTCAATACAAAGAAGACCTTGGATCAAAAATATAAATGATGATGATGAGGGAGTTTTGGAGACTTTTGACAACAATCAGTTGTTTGAGTTTCCTATAATATTTGAATGGTGAAGTAATCACGCTTATTTACAATGTTGATTTCTTCACTAGTGTGGGTGCTATGCTTATACACCAATCGTTCTTTATGTACATGTTTTTAGAACAACTCACAAAGTTAAAATCTTCAATGAAAATTTGGTAGCGGAAACATGAAAACAAACAACTGAATCAAGAAAGCAGGAGACAAGAATCATCGCATTGGTTTCGAGCAGAATATTTCTGAATCAAGAAAACAGATAAGAATCAAGAGACTGGACTGCAAATGATTAAAAACCCTACTCAATAGACTTGACAACAAGTTCGGAAAAATTCCCAAATGCAAATAATCAACTCCCAACGACAGTTAACTTAACACCTAACGATAATCAAAAGAGGATTCCAGTGATAATTCGAGATTCAAGAGTCAATTAAAGTCCAACTTAAATCGCAAAAGAATAAACAGCATGGTTATCGTAGGAAAAAAGACAAAAAAATTAAACCAATTTGCTCGAGTCAACTGATCAACAACAAATGCAATTGAAATATCTATATAGCATCAAAACCAGCAGGGATTATTGTTGATTTTGCCCTTTTTTACCAAAATCTTTTGAAAATGCCATTTTTGCAAAAATCTTATGGATTTGCCATTTTCTAACACTTAAAAATGTACGTATTTCGGATTTTTTTTAGTAAAAATACGTAGTTTATACAAAATACTAAACCCTAAGAACAACCACAACCGACTAAACCCAAACATAACGAATAAAACGCATGTTTCCGTAGCCTGAAAAAGGGCAAAATCCATAAACTATTCAAAAAAGGGCAAAATCCACAAATGCCATCACAAAAAATGGCAAATCCATAATTGATTCAAACCAGCACGTATAAGATCATGACAAGTTGAGAAAATAAAATCATTAAACAATCACATATATACCATTTCACACTTCAAGTGTTTCTGAAGACTGCTATCATCTAAACCAAGGTTCTAAAAATCGGCCTAGGCGGCTACTAGGCGTCCGCCTAGGCGCTCATGAGCCTCCGGGCGCCCCGATTTTCGTAAAATCGGTGAATCAAATCGGTTTACCGGTTTAGGCGTTAAAAATCGGAGAAATCGGCCAAATCGGTCAAATCGGCCGGTTTATTTTCTGATTTTTTTGTTTTTTTTTTTTAATATAACATTATTTTGAATAAATAAAAAAAATAATAAAATGAAAAGATTAGAAAAAGATAATTAATTATTAAATTGTAAATTATAATTTAGTTAGTCTCAGTTTTTTTATTTACAGTGACTAAACTATATAATTCTTATATAAAATAGGTATAAATATATATAAGAAGTTCAAATATGTAATATTTTTTGTATTTCATATTTTATAAATTATAATTTGTTATAAAAATATTAAAAATATTTAGAAATATAATAATAATTCATTAACGCCTAGGCCCCGACTAGGCCCCGATTAATCGATCTAGGCGCTAGGCCTCATTCGAACGCCTAACTAGCGCCTAGGGATTCTTTGAACCTTGATCTAAACCATCCTTCAATGGTGCATTTAGTGAATAATATTGTCCTCTTCCTTCCCCAAAGTCACTTATGTCTCCGGAGTCCCCAATTTTGTGGAAATAAACAGTCATAACTCTATCAGTGTCCTTAAATGCTTCTTCCACTCCATCCCCATGACGAAAGCCAATATCTACGTAGAGAACTCTCTGTCAAAATCAAAGTTAAACAAAGCATTCAGTCTCACCATGCTAACTAGGCCTAATTCAATAACTCAAGTGAAAAACAAAATGTTCTTCAATAGCTGATATCATAAAATTCCTAACCTATTCCCAGAAACATCAAGATTCTAAGCGCAAGAGGCATCAAGATTCAAATCTGAACATTAAGTTGAGGAAAATTGCAAATTCCCAGAGACAAGTCATTCATAGAAGCAGATTCTAAGCCTAATTCAAGAATCAACGCATGAAGTTCATGAAATTGCAAATTCCGCGATTGTATATTGAAACTAAATCAAACAGTTACCTTGAAAGTTTTGAGCAACTCGAGAATCCCAAGCACAACGTCATTGGCATAGCCAAAGTCAGAAGCCTTATCTTTCTTCGCATTTTGCATCCCACCGGCCCAATTGATAGCAATATCTGCTTCTTGACGGTTCAATTTAGCGGCGGCGCTAATAGTACCACCAGCGTAAGCACGACAATAATCGAAGAGGTTATGGAAGACAGGACCGTCCAAGTCCACATCTATGTTGAATTGCTTGAGGTTTTTGAGAGACGGAAGGATCGGTTATGGTTTCTGGCGTGAGGGATTTGAGGAACTCGACATACTCCGTCGAGTGAAAGTTTTCGAAATCGGAAGGAGCTTTAGATTTGTTTCAGAAGGGTATAATGGTCTCTTTAATACAAATTAGAGAGGGGTAGATTAGAGAGGTACATTTTTGAAAAGTGATAGAGAAGGCATTTGTAGCAATTTCTCTTCCTTTTTTCTTTTAGAATTAATAATTACATTATACTAGAAATTAACCCGCGGTACACCGCGGGCCTATATTTTTACTAAATAAAAATTATTATTTTTAAGATGATTTATAGATATATGGTACACCGCATGACAATAAAAATAATTTTTTAAAAACAAATATCACATCATCTTTTTAGGGAGTCTTCGTGCTATTAATTTGGCAAAGTGCCAAAAAAATTTATTAGTGTTTATAAATTTATATATATTTAACAATTGTTTATAAATTTATGCTTAATATATGAAAATGATATATAGAGTTGTTTATGTTTATTATTAATGTGTTAAAAAAATATAAAGGACTAAACTTAACCCAAAAGAAAAAAAACAGATCATAATAATACATGACCCGTTTTTAATGAAGTGGATCTTTTTATCCAGATCCGATTAAATATAAGATATGATATTTGAATATACGACTCACTAAAAAATAACAGAAAATTTCTTTAAAATTCATCTAAAATATATAAATATAAATTGAGGATATTATTTCAACACATAAATATTTCACGGGTAAGTATATTTTATGATTATCATTTACGATTGTCATATATGGTAAAATATGGCATTTCCTTACCGATTGGTAAGAGACTAATGTTCAATTAGAAGTTTGATTAGTAAGAACTGATATCAAAAAGAGAAGGAGAATACAAAAACTTGGAAATTGTGTTTTATGATTATTTAATATTTTTGACACTTCGAACAGTATCACTAAAAACCTTTTTATGTTTTGTCACAAATGGGACCTAAAATCAGTATGGTGTGGTAATAATTTATGTATCCTATTCGGCTATTCCTAATCAATATTCTAAGTAAAGAGATGATATTAAAGTTAAAAAGATTCCTTCGAAGATCAATAATTGGGAACATCAAATCCTTATCATAAAAACCATCACACTCTAAACTACAGTAAACAAAAAAAAATCCCTTTCGATTGGTGATTATCTAAGATAAAGCTATAATGATCAATGATGTCGAAATCAAAAGCTCTAGCATTCACGATCCCTGCTTTATCTTACTCCTCCTTCTTCCTCTTCTCTTCTTCACCAAAGTCTCACTACCACGAGCTCGTCCTCTCTGCTTCCTTTTCCAACAATTTTTTTTTGTCTCAATGAATCGATATATTAAATAAAAGGGTTCAGATACAGAATAATAAAAAACAGAGCAAAACAGGGGACGAACCAAAATAGAAACAGAGTAACGCAGACCAAGAGAACGGAATCAACCTGTCGTTGCACTCCTTTTTCTAAACTTCATTCACTCTGACTCCAACACGTTTCTAAACACTTTTGATTTAATTATCTGTTGTATATCAAGAAGTTAAAAAAAGATTATAAGTTAGATTCCTATATATATAACTCCAAATAATTGATATAGTTCTAAAAGATTTTACCAAAACAGCTTAGTGGGAGTAGAATTCTTGGACCATTGTCACCAGGTTTGACGATAATATCATGGTGTATCGCTTCTTTCAATGCTATAACATGCTCACTGGTGCTATCTGCCATGTTTTTCCAGTCAATACAACTTAATCAAGTCATAATCATACATTCATTAAAATCCTAATGAAACCCTAGAATTATACTATCAAGCCAACGATTAGCAATCAGCAAGCAAGTAATGCAATAATCAAAGGGATATACACCTAAAAGACCTAGATAATATGGAGAAACCGATAAAGACTTTGGCACCTATATAGAGAGAAGATCTCAAGAAGCATCTATATATAGATTCAGCCTTTAGGGCGAATTACGAACTTTTTTCCAATTATTTTTGGATTTAAATTTCAAATTTCGATATGTTGGCATATAAGGAAAACAGATCCCACATGATTAGGAACTATTCAAACTAATTACCGTAACTTGTGTGAGAAATATTCTTCACAATTGGTATACTGTACTACTTAAAAATTGCATATTACCATGCATATGTATAAATCGAAGATTTGATTCTGATATTACAATTATTGTTAGCATTTAATTTTATTGTCGTTTTTTTTTGAAGAGATATCTTACCAAAAAAGATTTACATAGCAATTATCGTATGTACTTTAGGAATATGCTATAATTTCGGTTAGAAGAGTAGTAATTGTTTTATTTATAATAAATTATTCGAATATTTGAAGCCTTGATTTATAGTAAATAGTAAATGAAATCTATTAAAATCACACCAAAATGAGATCTTAGGTAAGGAAACAACAATATTTAATATTAAATTAGTTAGGATTAGGTAGAATTGAAAACATTAAATCGATAATATACAATCGAGAATATAGCAACATATTCGATATTTAGTTTGCTTAATATCTTTATTAAATTTTGCAAATTTAAATAATAAATGCTAATGACATGCCGATTAATGTGGGAATAAATTAAGGAAACAGAGTTAAATAGGTAATTAAAGAGATAATGTCGTTTTTTATTACACATTTCCTTAAATCTCTTATCCAGGATCCGAATAGCTTTAAACCGGGTAAAACCCGGATCCAAATGAATTAAAGCAAAAAAGTACTGTAAAAATGTATATGTAGATTAATTAATTGTATAATTTCTTAATTTATGTAGGGGGACTCACAAAAATGCCCCCTTTTTAATACCCCTTTTCAAAAATACCCCCTCCCTAATAGCTTCCCTGAAATTGACTATTTTACCCTTAATGAGTAACCAAATTGACCAATTGAGGAACCAAATTGAAGAAGAGAAAACTGGGGAACGACGAACAAAAATCTCGGCGTCTCTCGTCACCTTCACAGCCGACGAACAAAAGGTGATGAGATCTTAGATCCGTCGATATCTTCATCTTAGATCCGTCGAGTTCAATCGAGTTCAATCGACGAGGATCAATCGATTCTGTAATCAAAAATCTGTGACTCATCCCAATCTGCATCAATTAGGTTCGAATCGCTTCTGAAATCTGAACCGTTTAGATCCAAAAGTTCATCGATTTCGTCTTCAAATCTGAATTGATTAATTAAGAGCTTCGATTCTGTGTTTATCTATTTTCTCGAATTTGTCTTGCTTGAAAATTATAATTCGTGTTACCTTTAAAAACTTTCTAAAACCATTGTAAAAATTTCTTCTTCATCTTCTCACTGTATTTATGTTCTTCAGTAACTATTGTACACTATTAGTGAAATAATTTTGATTTACCGTGTTTTTTGTGAAGATTGTAAACCTTTAAAAAATATTGTAAAACCATGAAGAACTTTATAAATACCTTGTGAACTATCATAAAGATACATATGTTTAACATTATAATACATTATCTTTTTTATCAGGTCGTAATGATTGAGTTGAATTGCATATCTGGTGTTTGGAAACTGAAAAATAACAATTGTTGGGATTTTAAATTTGATGTTGAAAGAGGAGGGTCTCTTACTTTTATCAATGAGGATACGTGTTTCACTGATTTGTGTGCTGTTGTTATAGAAGATTTTGGAATTGATGTCGGTATTAATATAGTGAAACTCAGTTATTCATTACCCTCTACAAAAGACATGCCTCCTATGTATATTAGAAATGATAGGCAAGTGCAAGCATTTATGAAAAAGCTTGCGGAATTCAGAGGCGGTATTCAGCTATGTGTAACTGTTGAGAAGGTATTTTACCAACATTCAATTTTGTAAACTGGTTTAACAAATTTGTAAACAGTTTTAATTATCTTTACAGGGGAAAACAAGCAGTAATCCAATGATGGGGACAAGCAACATCTCAATTAGTAGTGAGAGCAATACAGATCCTTATTCTACATATCAAGTCATGAATGAGGTAAAACAGTAAAGAAACCTTGTAAATTAGTAAAGAAATCATTAAAATAGCTTGTAAATAAGTTAACGAAGATTCAAAATAACTTGTAAATTTGCAAAAATTATATTACAGGTACAAATGTATTCTGCAAACCTTGCTCCTATAACTTTTGTTTCAGCTCCTGCATGTCATGTCATGAATGAGGTATTTTCAATTCCCTTACAAATTCTTTGAAAATCAGTAAAAAATCTTTTTAAAAAACCTTGTAAAACCCTTTTAAAAACCCTTTTTAGTACACCTTTTAAAATAACTTGTAAATCCTTTTAAAATACCTTGTAAAACAATTCAAATCCAATTTTTTTTTGCTTTTGCAGATGGGATTTGACTCAACCATCCCGGAGAGGGTTATAACTGAAACGGAATCCTTCTCTAATATATCTGAAGGTTCAGCTCCTGTAGGTGGTTCTACTATTTCTGCATCTTCAAATACTTTGTATTGTGGAAAGTTGTTCAAGGACAAAAAGGAAATGGGAAGGCAGATGCAGTTATTTGCAATGGAGAATAACTTCGAGTTCCGGACTAAGAAATCAGACTCAACACGGTATACTCTTCGTTGCATTGATGAAAAATGTAGTTGGAGGTTACGTGCAACTAGGGTTAAGGCATCAGATAGTTTTATTATTAAAAAGTATGTTAGTGAGCACTGTTGTGATTATTCGCTAAGGAAGGTTAATCATCGCCAAGCAACTGCTAGGACATTAGGAGAAATGGTAAGTAATCATTTTCGTGGAGAGAAGCTTGCGCTTAAACCTAAACAACTGATAGAAAAATTCAGACACGACAATGGGATTGGAGTTCTTATTCAAAAGCGTGGAGAGCTAAAGATCATGCAATCGATGTTGCTAGGGGTACACCTGAAGATGGTTATGAGTTCTTGCCAATGTGGATGTACATGGTAAATGAGAAGAATCCTGGTTCTGCAACCTTCATTGAGGTCGATCCTGACAACAAATTTAAGTACGCATTTCTTGCCTTTGGTCCGTCAATTAGAGGGTTTAAGTTGATGAGAAAAGTGATTTGTATTGACGGTTCTCATTTGAAATCAAATTTTAAAGGGACTTTGCTTGGTGCCTCAGCACAAGATGGTGACTTTCATTTGTATCCTATTGCATTTGGCGTAGTTGATTCAAAAAATGATGCTTCGTGGGACTGGTTTATGAAGTGTTTGAAGAAAATTATCCCGGATGAACCTGATTTAGTTTTTGTGTCAGATCGTGCATCATCAATTGCCAATGCTCTTATTGTTAATTATCCACTTGCTCATCATGGGATCTGCATTTTTCATTTGGAGAAAAACCTTGAGACTGGGTTTAAGTCATCCTCAACGCTTATTCCAGTTATGAAAGATGCAGCTTATGCTTACACAAGGTTTGATTTTGAACAGTTGTTCCATGAACTGTCTCTTGCTGACAACAAGATGGCACAGTATCTGTGGGATTTGGATGTCAAAAAATGGTCACGTGCTTGTGCACCTGCCAATCGATACAACATTATGACATCAAACTTAGCTGAGTCTTTGAATTCTCTGTTGAAAGAAAGCCGTGAGTATCCAATTGTCTGTTTGTTTGATACAATTAGGTCTACTCTT